CTTCGTGGCCCCGTTGCAGCCCTTCGTGGCCCCCTCGCTGCCCTTCGTGGCCTCGTTGCAGCCCTTCGTGGCCCCCTCGCTTTGTTTCATGGCCCCATATATGTATGCCCTTCGTGGCCCCCGCTCGTTCGCGCCCCTGGTGGCCCCATATGCATGCCCTTCGTGGCCCCCTCGCTGCCCTTCGTGTCCCCGTTGCTGCCCACAGTGGCCCCGTCCTTACCCTCCGCGGCCCAACATACGTATGCCTTTCGTGGCCCCCGCTCGTGTCCTTCGTGGCGCCGCTGTCGCCATTTGTGTCCCCCTCACTGTCCTACGTGGCCCGGTTGCTACCCTCAGTGGCCCCATCGTTGCCTTCTGTGGCCCCGCATTATCTGCCCTTCGTGGCCCCCGCTCGTTCGCGCTCTTCGTGGCCCCATACGCATTCCCTTCGTGTCCCCGCTGTCACCCTTCGTGGCCTACTTCGTGCCCTTCGTGGCCCTGCTGTCGTTCTCTCTCGCTCTCGCTTTCGCTCGTCGTCGCCGTCGTCGTCGTCGTCGCCGTGGTCTTCGACGCCGTCGTCGTCGTCGTTGTCGTCGTCGTCGTCGTGGTTGGTCCCCTGTCCGTCCCTCTTGGGGTCGGGTCGACGGGTCGCGGCCGCCCCGCCGATCAGCGCTGCCGCTGGCCAGGCCGACGATCCGCGGCCGCCCCGCCGCTTGCCGGGGCCCGGCCTGCAGGGAAGAAAGGTATATCCCCCCAAAGGGTCTCGATCGAAGACGAAGAGGGCGGGTATCGAGGGTTTGGGAAATACGCGTTACTGGACACTGGAGCATATAAGGGCGAACGGTCTTAAATTGTTGTTGTTGTGGTTGTTGTTGTTTGTTGCTTGTTGCTGGTTGTCTGTTGATTGTTGTTTGTTGTTTGTTGTTGGTTGTTGGTTGTTTGTTGTTTGTTGTTGTCGTCGTCCCACCCGCGACCCGCCCCGCGACCCGCCCCGCGACCCAACCGCGACCCACCCGCGACCCACCCCGCGACCCACCCCCGACCCACCCCGCGACCCACCCGCGACCCACCCGTGACCCACCCGCGACCCACCCCGCGACCCAACCGCGACCTACCCCGCGACCCCCCCGGCGACCCACCCGCGACCCACCCGCGACCCACACACCCCGCGACCCACCCGCGACCCACCCGCGACCCACCCGCGACCCACCGCGACCCACCCGCGACCCACAGGCGACCCACCCCGCGACCCACCCGAAATTTTCGGGGCATGCGGCGGTTTCTTTTGCAGTCGTTCCAGGTGGAAAACCTGCGATCCGCCCCGCGACCCGATCCGCGCCCGCGACCCACCCGCGACCCACCGCGACCTACCCGCGACCCACCCGCGACCCACCCCGCGACCCATCCGCGTTCACATTCGTTCCAGATGGAGAACTTGCGACCCACTCGCGACCCAAACCGCGATCAGTGTACAAATCCAAAGTTTTGGCGCCTGCGGCGGGCTGTTTTTGAATTCCTTCCAGGTGGAGGTGGAGAGCCCGCGACCCACCCGCGACCCAAACTACGTTCACTGAACAATCCCAGACTTCGCCCCGTGCGGCGTTGTTTTTGCATTCGCTCCAGGTGGAGAAACTGCGACCCAAACCGCGTTCAGCGTACAAATCCATATTTTCGGCGCCTGCGGCGGGCTGTTTTGTGAATTCTTCCAGGTGGAGGTGGAGAGCCCGCGACCCACCTGCGACCCAAACTACGTTCATTGAACAAGCCAAAAACTCGGCGCCTGCGGCGGGCTGTTTTTGCATTCGTTCCGGATGGCCCACCTGCGACCCCCCCACACGCAGATCTTGTCAGAGCACGACGACGATGAGGACGAGGACGCGGACGAGGAAGAGGAGGAGGAGGAGCAGGAGGAGGACGAGGAGGAGGATGAGGAGGGCGCCATCGACAGGGAAGGTGAAGGCCATGAGGTCCGCCGGCTCGACGCACGCGTCGCCCGCGCCCGCCCTTTCACTCTTATCCGCAATTGCGGGGTGCTACGTAGCACTCCGCAGTCGCAGATAAGAGTGAGGGGGTGGCGGGGACGTCTGCTGTCTGCAAGGCTCCGGGGAAGCCCGCCGCAGGCGCCTCATGTTGACAAATTGTACGACGAGCCCGCCACAGGCGCCGATTATTCGTCAAAGCAATGTGGGTGGTGCGCAGGGAGGGTCGCGGGTGGGTCGCGGGATGGTCGCGAGTGGGTCGCGGGCTGGATCGCGGGTGGGTCGCGGGTGGGTCGCGGGTGGGTCGCGGGTGGGTCGCGGGCGGGTAGCGGGGTGGGTCGCGGGTGGGTCGCGGGTGGGTTGTGGGTTGGGTCGCTGGTGGCTCGCGGGCGGATCGCGGGCGGATCGCGGAGTGGGTCGCGGGTGGGTCGCGGGCCGGGTCGCGGGGGGGACGACGCCAAACACCAACAAACAAACAACAACAATAATCCGCATCGCGGAGTCCCACTTCAGCCACGCACCGAGGGACAGATAATGACCGTTCGGCCTCTTCACTCCCATATATTTATGTTTCTGCAGTTATACGTATGTATGAAATGCCACAAGTAGCAAGCAACGCAAAAACACGAGGGTATTTAGTTTGGGAAAGGGCGGCGGGACTAGCGGCAATTCGCTGGCATTAACAAAAACATGTATATCTGGCCGGAACAATGTCGGCAATCAGCGGAATGATCGGTTTGAGTTAGATAAGCCGAACATCAGTCGAGGCATTGCGTGGGCCGCGCGCAAAGACCAAGGATTAGGACATCGAATATGAACTATATTGGGGCATTTGATTTGCGAAGGCCCATCGCAGAAATAGAGTTCAATGCGTTTTTGTTTAAGTTTTCCACAGTCTCAAAGCACGCTCTTCTCCCTGACCGCCCCCTTGCTGCACGTCGACGCTGAATGCATTGAGCACAACAATCTGCAGCGCAAAGATCACACAACCGTGCCGAACGACCGTGCATAAGCACGCGAGCCCAAATACATTTACAGCGCGGCCAACGCCTCAGAACCATAGGATTTCGCCCAAACCGCATCGCAAGAAACTGATGACACGATAAACGCGAAAACACGAAACTTCGGAGTGACATTTATAGAAAGTATACATAGAAGGTCCGCGACTACAATAATGAAAAAACATAAACATCTATACGGATAACGTTGTGGTTGTGTGGTTTGGGTTCTCATGGTCTCCCATCGTTTGTCACATGACAGAGGTGCCTCGTTTCTACCGTGACCGTTCTTTGAATCGGAGGTGAGGGGGTGAGGTCGAAGTGGAACGGAGAGCCCCCCTACCGGGAAATCGGTATCGGTTTCGTGTTCGTGCGTGCCGCGCGTGCGGGCGAGGCGAAGCTGCGTGGGCGGGCGAGAAGAAAGTCTCCTCCGTCTGAGGCGCGGCCAGACCAAATGATTCCTTTCCGGGTACCGGTGGCCCTCGGTGTCCCGCCAGTGTCCCGCCTCCAGCTGAGGCGCGGCCGGACCAAATGATTCCTTTCCAGGGGGCCGGTGGCCCGCGGTGTCCCGCCGGTGTCCCGCCCGTGTCCCGATGATGATTATGATGATGATGATGTTGATGATGATGGTGATGAAAGTGATGATGATGGTCTCCCGGTGATGATGATGATGATTATAATGCTGTTGATGTTGAAGATGTTGGTGATGATGACGATGATGATGGTGATGATGATGGCCATGGTGGTGATGATGATGGTGGCTCGATGATGATGTTGATGATGCTGTTGCCGATGATGATGATTGTATCCCAGTGATGACGAGGATTATGTTGATGATCATGATGATGTTGATGATGATGGGATGATGATGAGATGATGCTGATGAGGATGATGAGGTTAAGGTTGATGATGATGGTGTTGTTGATGATCGTGATGATGATGGTGTGCCGATGATGATGGTGATGATGATGATGACGATGGTGTCCCGATGATGATGCTGATGTTGATGATGAGAACGATGGTGAGGTGATGATGATGATTTGATGATGGTGGCCTGATGATGGTGATGATGCTGATGGTGATGTTGATGCTGATGATGGTGTCCCGATGATGATGATCATGATGGTGATGGTGATGATGGTGAAGATAATGAGGTTGTTCCAATGATGATGATGCTGATGTTGATGATGATGATGCTGTTGCTGATGATGATGGTGTCCCGGTGATGATGATGCTGTTGATGTTGTCCATGGTGATGATGAGATGATGATGATGATGATGATGATGGTGGTTTTCCGATGTTGATGATGATGATGGTATCCCGATGCCGATACTGATGATGATGGTGACGATGATGGTGTCCCGATGATGATGATGCTGATGGTGATGATGATGCTGATGATGATGATGATGATGATGTTGCTGATGATGGTGATGAGGTGATGATGATGATGGTGCCCCGATGGGGGTTATTATGTAGATGACGTTGATGACGATGATGTTGATGATGGTTGATTGTGAGGTCGATTGTGAAATCCATAGTGAGATCGTCAGTGAGACCGGATGTGAGATCGATTGTGAGATCGATGGTGAGATCGATCGTGAGATCGATTGTGAGATCGATAGTCAGATCGATTGTGAGATTGATCGAATGAAATAGATCGAGTGAGATCGATTGTGAGATCGATCGAGTGAGATCGATCGAGCGAGACCGATCGTGAGATCGAGCGTGAGATCGATAGTGAGACCGGTCGAGTGAGACGTTGGTTCCTCCCCCCCGAACCTCCTTATCACCCGAAGGGTGGTCGTATAGGCATTGCATGTTTGTGAGTGGCAGTTTCATGTGGATCTGCATGTTTATGAATGTCTCGCAGTGTGGCTGTGTGATTTCCACATTGCACTTGCCTATGTGCTCGCGTTTTTCGCGCGGCCACTTTCTATGTACATCAGTTTTCTCGCGAAGCCGCTTGGGTAGAATCCTGTGATTGTGGGGCGTGGGGAGATCTTGGTGTCAGCCAGACGGACGCTCCGCGCATCCGTGCAGGTCCAGGGATTCATGCTGAAGGTGGAGCAGGTGGGGTCCATCGACGAGCGGCTGCCCCAGGGGCGCGACGCAAGGTCGGCTAAGGCGCTGCTGCTCGGGGTGCCGCTGGGAGAGACGAGGCCAGCGCTCTCCACGTCGAGGCAGGCCGTGGAGCTGAAGCACACGGACGAGGTCATGGGGCTAGCGTTCAGCCCAGACGGCCGTTTCGTGGCCACTGGGGGCGAGGACGCCAGCCTGGTCATTTGGGACGCCGCAGACGGCTCGAAGGCCGCCGGAGCGAGGCTCGGAGATCCCATCTGTGCGATGGCATACTCCCCGAGTGGTCTCCACGTGGCGGTGGCGACCACGGGGTTGAGCGTGGTCCTCTGGGGCACGGCCGAAAAGGGCGAGGTGGGCAGCAAGGAGTTCGACGCCCCTGTGCTGGCCGTGGCGATTGGCAAGAGCGAGCTCCTGGCCGCCGGCACCGCGGACAAGGGGGTGTCGCTGCTGTCCCTGCCGGACATGCAGGAGATTGCGCGCCTCGAGCACGATGGTCACGTGCGTTGCCTTTCCTTCTCGCCCTGCGGCGGCATGCTCACCGGCGGGGGAGGCATCGACGACATGCACGGCCTCATGACGAACAAGACGCAGCGAAACGATATGAAGACGGTGGTCTGGCGCGTGGCCGCTGCTGCACAGGACTGCAAGTACATGGGGTCGATCTCTTTTCCCGACATCGTACATGCGGCGGCCTTCTCTCCCACGGGTACCTTGCTCGCTGTAGGCGGCGAGGACCGCGTGATAAGCATGCTGTTGGTCGACCGAGACTTCGAAAGCGTATCCCAGTTCGTGTGTGTTGCCGGTGTGCGCTGCTTGGGCTGGTCTCCAGACACGCGTTTCTTGGCGAGCGGTGGCGAGGACATGCAGGTTACGATATGGGACGTACTCTCCGAGCAGATGGTATTTCAAACGCCTAAGGCGACGGATTGGCTGTGCTGTGTGAGCTTCAGCCCCGACGGCCGCTGGTTGGCCTCTTGCGGCTTCGGGCACAACGAGGCAACGCTGCACCCGGTCGAGGACGAGAAACACGAGTGATCACGGCGGGACGCCCAGTGCCCCACCCCTTTTGTGGCGGCGCGCACAGCTTAACAGCGCCGAAAGGCGAAGCAAAACGCTGTTTTGGTCGACCCCTGCCGAGAAGCTTCCGTTTTTCCGTCCGAGCAGCACCCTGCCCTCTCAGGAGGCTGCTCCTTTTACCCGACTCCTGCCAGCCAAATCTTTTTTCGGCAGCGGCAAGCAGGCCGCGCCGGGCAAGGACCGCGGACACTGCTCGGGCGCCCTGTGCTTGGAGGCGACGATAGGGACGACCACCTCAGGGGCGGGCATTTCACGTACTCGCCCGGGAGCCTCGCCGAAGGTACGGACTAACGGCGCCCCTGGATACTTGCCTTGGTCTCCCCTGGGCTATTCCCCACCACTGCCCCCCCAAGATGTGCCTGGACGGAGCGAGGACGCCACGGGGCAAACGAGCCGCCTCCCCTCTCGCCAGGGCCTCAAACGGGGCCAGGGCAGATAGGGTCGAGGAATCGCGCCGCATCGCCGGTGCAGCTGGAGGCCGTACTTTTCCATCCCGCCGTCGCCGATGCCTCGCTGATGCGGCGCGATCCTTCGACCCCGCCTGCTCCGGCCACATTTTGGAGGTATCTCCATTAGTCTTCCTCCCCAGACCGCCTCGCGTCGTGAACGAAAACCAGGTCGGTAGGTTTTTTGGCCGACTTCGGCCTCGGGGGGGCCTCACTGGGCCCCGGGGCCGTCAGCCTGTTTGATTCAAACAAGTTACTCAGGAGGGGGAGTCGGTTCCTGGGGAAGGGGGGGAGACCTCCAGGGGTCCACGTTTCGATAATGGCGCGACGCCGGGGGTCTGGGGAACTCTGCCCTTGAAGGAGGAGGAGGAGGAGGAGCAGGAGGAGGTTCGAGCATCGAGGCTCAAAATTGATGGGCGCTGCTCTCGTTTCTTGGATCTCCGGGGGCCTCTGTGGGCCTGTGGGGGATGTGCGTCTATTGGGAGATCTTCACGTCGGGACCTCATGGGGGAAGGGGAGGAAAACGTTGCGAACGACGTCAGAAGTGCTTCTCATCGCATGTCGCAATTGCTGTGACGTGGGCCCTTGGGAATCTCGACCACTTCCCTGGAGCTGGGGTTTCATCCGGAATGTCGTTTGACAGTTCCGATGTCTGAAGCCAGCCTCCATGGCCGCCTGGATTTTCCCAGCGGAAGGCGGCGGAAGCAACATATACGTCCCCAAGAGATGGAAACATTGTTGGGTCCAGCGACTTCTGGATCCGTCATGTGGTTCCCTTGCAGTAAGAGGAGAGCATGCACCTCCAAGTGCAAACCCTGTCAGGGTTGCTGACGTTCCCGTGTGCCAGGGGAGGGCCCTGGGGGCCGAGAGCGGCGGAACTGATCCAGCCCATGGTTCCCTCATGATCCTTTCTGCCTCCACGGCAAGCCCTGCGTCCGCCACCTGCTGCTCGTCCTCCCGCCCCTGCCCCTCCTCCTCCTCCTCCTCCTCCTCCTCCTCCTCCTCCTCCTCCTCCTCCTCCTCCTCCTCCTCCTCCTCCTCCTGCTCCCCCTCCCCCTCACTCCTCCCCCTCCTCCCCCTCCTCCTCCTCCTCCTCCTCCTCCTCCTCCTCCTCCTCCCTCTCCCCTCTCCTCCTCCCTCTTCCTCCTCTTCCTCCTCCTCCTCCCCCTCCTCCCTCCTCCTCCTCCTCCTCCTCCTCCTCCTCCTCCTCCTCCTCCTCCTCCTCCTCCTCTCCTCCTCCTCCTCCTCCTCCCCCCAGGCCTCTTGTCGTCACGGCGGGCTCCGCCCCGAGCGCCCAAGTTTCGAAAGAGGAGGAGGAGGAGGAGGAGGAGGAGGAGGAGGAGGGGCACGCCCCCTTCTCCTCATTGTCGAGGGTCATCCGCGGCCTCCCCTCCTGCCTCTTCTGGTGGCCGGTCAGCTGGTCGACAAGCGCGGGGACGACTGCGGCCTGCGCTCGCTCGTCATGGACGCTCTGGTCGAGGCCAGGAGGAGGAGGAGGAGGGCAAAGGGGAGGAGGAGGAGGAGGAGGAGGAGGAGGAGGAGGAGGAGGAGGAGGTGGAGGAGAGCAGAAGGAGCAGGACGAGGGAGGAGGAGGAGGAGGGCAGAGGGGAGGAGGATGAGGAGGAGTAGAACACAAGGAGCAAGACGAGGGGCTCTTCCCTCTCTTCCTCCCTTGGACAGGGGAGGGGAGGGAGGAGTAGGAGGAGGAGGAGGAGGAGGAGGAGGAAGTAGGACTAAAGGTGCAAGAGTGTCCGCAGTTTGGTCTGTTCGGCCGCATCGCACTCGGTTGCGTTCGGTCTGTTCGACTCGGTCGGTTGTTGAGTCAATGCTGCGCCGCTGCGCCCTTCTCAGCTCCGTTCGCTCGATTCGGCCTCGGTCGGCTTCGGTGTCGCTGCCTCTCTTTTGTCAGTTTCCGATAGTGCTGTCGACGTGGACAGCCTTGGTGATGGAGGAGGAGGAGTTGATTGAGGAGAGACCATGGCTGGGAATGAGGGCGCCGCAGAAGAGGGGAAGACCTGAACATGATGACCGAGGATGAGGAGGAGAAGTTGGGGCCCCCGCCCGCGCGACATTCCAAAGGTTCCCATGCTGCGGGGGCCGCCCGGTGAACTTCTCTCCGGGGGCTCAAGGCTGGGCGCACCCCCGCACAGCCCCCAGCCGCGGGAGGTGCGCAGGCCGGGCAATAGGGCGCCCGTCTGCGAGCAGGCGCGCTGGGCGGCCCGGCGGCGCGCGGCCCCGACAGCGCGGGTCTCGTCAAGCCAGGCGGCAGTAAGGGAGCGAAGACGGAGGAGGATGGCGCTGGCGCGGTGCAGGCGGCGATGCTTCCAGCCGCGCGCGAGCAATGAGCCAGCCACTGGCTTCTTCTATCGGGGCGCACCACAGAGCGCACCCAACGGCGAGGGCCACGCGGATGCGCATGTGCATCGGCGAAAGGGGGTTGCCACCGAGGATGAGCATGGGGAGTGCGACACAGACGCAATCCGCTGCTGCATGCTGGGTCGGCAAAGACAAGCTACAGCCCCGAATCGTAAGGCTGGACGGGGGGGATATGATGACGAAGGGAAACGAGGAGGAGGAGGAGGACGAGAAGGAGGAGGAGGACGTGGAAGAGGAAGACAGGACTATCTGAGTGAGGGGGCCGAGCGGTCTTACCCCATCCTTGGGTGCGCGGGCCAAATGGGATCCCGTAGGCCGGATTATGTTGGTTTGGGGAACCCGTAACTTCTAGAAAATAGTTATCGTTGATCCCCCATTCAGGTAACATATTCGGTTTTCAATTGAAGTGCCCCTTCCGGGGTTCGCTTTCTGTTTCTCCTTGGGGGAGCGTTGTCGGTTTCCGAATTACGTTGTGGTCCCACGGACTAGTACATCAGCTGTTCCAGCCTTCTGTTTCCTCACAGTGCATTGAAGATTCGCGTTCCGGCTTGGGCCCTCCTTGCAATCTACAGGATCGCGCTGTCGCGTTCGTCTCCCTCGTCAGTAATTCAAACGCCGCGCTCTTGCATTTCAGGATGACATGTCCCCCCTTTGAGCCTCCGCACGGTTTACTTGGTTATCGCGCCATCAGTGAAGACTCCCCCGCGCTATTTGCAGGACTGACGCTTCAGTGACCCGCCCGCTCGACCTGGCTGTGTGGGCCTGCCCCCATTGACCCGCCCGTTGTGGTCCGCCCGCCCGACCCGCCGTTTTCTCTTGTCTTTCTTGTTTTCTGGATTGCGCCAACTACACGTGGTAGGTAATGAATCTATCCCCGCGAAAGGAGTACGGTCATAAACGAAGAGGGCGCGGGCATTCCATATCGAGATTGATTGGTACGCCATCCGGCAAGGGCGAACGATATTTAAATGTTTGCTGTTTTTGGGCACTCCCGTCAAACAAACATGGTTTGCGGGTCTACGGAAAATTGGCAAAAAGGCGCGTTCGATCGAGCGCAGGCCACATATTCTTCGACAGCGACGCTCACGCTCGAGCGCGGGCTTCGTTCTTCATGTAAACATTGGGCCCCCGAGCCATAACAACAACGGTTCCTGCCTGAGACTTATTCGCAATTCTAAAGACCCCCGCTCCCGTCGGAGATTTCCTCGCAAATTCGGTTGGTTTTCGCCTTCGCCGTGGAACTCTCCACACTTCAGATATAACCCTGGGTGGCCTGGCCACCACAACGCTGGCCTGGCCTTGCCCATTTTTGCCCACGTATGGAAGACCCCGCTCCCGCCCGAAAATTGTTTCGCAGCTTATAGTCCGAACCGTGCCTCCCCAACCCGCTGTGACGACCCCCCAGGGTTCCGCCCGCGAGGGCGCGCCCGCGCTGCGCGCCCGTTTCCCCCCCCCCGTTCCCCCGTCGAGGTCGACCCTTTGGTTGGCATGGGCCCACCCCGACAACAAAACGCGTACAGATATTTCGAGCGTGCTAAAACGGCATTGACTTCGAGGGTCGACGGAGTTGTCATGTCTTCCTCTGCTGAAGGTGGCGGAAGTTCGGCGAAAGTAACACGAGGCGGCTTCTGCCAGCGGAATGCGGCGGAAATTCGCCGGAAGGTTGCGGACATACAAAATACGCCCCCAAGAGATGAACAAATTGTTGGGCCCATGGTTTCCGAAGTCGCCCATAGAGAGGACGGGTGGGAAGGAGAAGGAGAATCGCATGAGAGTGGCACTGGCCTTTGATATCACATGGCGGTGATACGACTGCTCCTCAGTTTGACCTCCCACTCTTGACGAAAATTGTTGTTGATCTCCCTTCCGTGTGCCCGCAATGCTTTTCAATTGCATTGCGCCCCCCCAAGGGCTCGTTTCCTGTTCACTTCACAAAGAAAGTCTTGCCCGTCAGGCAGTGTTGCTGGCCCGCGGTTTACAGCAACAGCGGTTCCCGCAGTAGGTGTTTCCAAAAGTCGCTCGGACTTGGGATTTTTGTCAAATGACCTCCTTGCAATTTGTGCAGAAAGCGCACTCTCGATTAAAGTCTTGCTTACAATGTGCCTAGACGGCCTCCCTTCGAGTGGTAAGGAGGTTTGGGGGATGGGACCAATGTCTCACTCAATCAGTATCACTACCGATGCCATTATCGATATCACTGTCGATCTCACGACCGTCTCAAAATCGATGTCATATTCAATCCTGCAATCAATTTCGCGATCGTCCCCACAATCGATTCCACTATCGATTTCACGATCAATCTCACTCCATCGATTTCATTTGATCGATCTCACTGACAGTCGCACTGTCGATGTCACCATCGATCTAGTTATCGATCATCGTACTGATGTTATTTTCGATCTCGCGATTGATCCAACCATCGATATCACTATTGTTTCATTGTGTATCGGAGGTTGGGTGGTGTGAACGGAAGTGGCCCCCACCAGGAAATCGGTTTCGGTTTCGGTTCGTGTCGTGCGTGCAGGCGTGGCGAATGTGCGCGAGTTCCTGCACTTGTGGGAGCCACATGGAGCCCAAAAGGTCGCCCCCCCACGCCCCTCCGGCCGGGCGCGGCCCCCGATGGATGTCCCGTGGGTTGTCCCGACGGTTGTCCCGAAGGTTGTCCCGATAGTTATCCCGGTGGGTGTCCCGATGGGTGTCCCGATGGTTGTCCCGATGGTTGTCCCGATGGTTGTCCCGATGGTTGTCCCGATGGTTGTCCCGATAGTGTCCCGATGGTTGTCCCGATGGTTGTCCCGATGGTTGTTCCGATGAGTGTCCCGATGGTGGTCCCGATGGTTGTCCCGATGGTTGTCCCGATGGTTGTCCCGATGGTTGTCTCGATGGTTGTTCCGATTGTGGACCCGATGGTGGTCCCGATGGTGTTATCCTAGTGGTTTTCCCGATGGTTGTCCCGATTTGTGCCCGATTGTTGTCCCGATGGTTGTCCCGATGGTTGTCTGGATGGTTGTCCCGATGGTTGTTCGGACGGTTGTCCAGATGGTTGTCCCGACGGTTGTCCCGATGGTTGTCCCGATAGTTGCCCCGATGGTTTGCCCCGATGGTTGTCCCAATGGTTGAATCCGATGAGTGTCCCGATGGTCCCGATGGTTGGCCCGATGGTGTCCCGATGGTCGAATCTTGAGGGTGGATGCAGAGATATATCTATATATATATATATATAGATATGGATGTATGAACTCATCGATAAATCGATACGTGCACGCTGACTTACATAGATAGACAGGTTGACTGGAGGTTGCGGGATGTGAAGAGAGGTGACCCCAAAGGGAAGTCGGTTTCGGTTTCGGTTCGTGTCGCGCGTGCGGGCAAGGCGAGGCTGCGCGAGTTCCTGCACAGGTAGAGGCCAACCATATGGAGCCCAAAGGGCCGCCCTTCACCCCCTGCCGGGCGGGATTTCCGATTGTTGTCCCGCGGGTTGTCCCGATGGTTGTGTCGATGGTTGTCCCGATAGTTGTCCTGATGGTTGTCCCGATGGCTGCCGGAACCACCCTCCCTTGTAAAAGTTTGGGTGTTGGAACCGATGTTCTCTGCACGCGTGCGGTGCTGGAACCATTTTCTCTAGTAGACATTGCGCGCTGGACCCCCCCCCCGTTTAGAGTGACAAATATAAGTAGGGTGGGTAAAGGGGGGGGGACAGGCCCAAGGGCGGAGGTCCTAGCATTGTAGTCGCGCCTCGCTCCCAAATTGGGGCAGTTTGCGCGCGCTCGTGCGCGTGCGATTGGTCGGTCGGTCGGTCTGTCTGTCTGGTCGTTGGCGTCGGTTGAATGGTCGGTCCGTCGGTCGTCGTCAGTCGTCGTCGTTGTCTTCGTCGGTCGGTCGGTCAGTCGGTCGTCGTCGTTCGTCGTCGATTTGGTCGGTCGAACCGTCGGTCGTCGTCGGTCGTCAGGACTGTCGGTCGTTCGTTCGGTCTGGTCTTCGGTCGTCGTCGTCGGTCGTCGTCTCGGTCGTTCGGTAGGTCGCTCCAGTCGTCGGTCGGCGGTCGGTCGGTCGGTCGGTCGGTCGTCGTCGGCAGTCGTCGTCTCGGTGGGTCAGTCGGTCCGTCGGTCGGTGCTGTTTCGCCGC